TATCTTCGGTCTCCGTCGCTGGAGAAGAGACTGGGTGGAGCTCTCAAGATTCGCTGCCGCCAATCGTCACGCATGGAGGGGTACCGTCCGTGACATCATTGGGGGCGGCAAGATCAGGCATGATCACAGTCATAACAAGCACAAGTACAAGTCGTACACTCCGGGAATGCTCATACTGAATTCCTAATATAAAAAATCAAAGTAGAAGCAAGTCCGATGCGAAGATAAACTTGTCAAAAATGATATATGTACCATCGGCGCGCTAACTATTATCGATAATATTATTTATGCGATGGCAGAATATGCCTTTTTGGCACGTTGCTCCGCAACTTATCGTACTTCACCGTGACCAACTTATTAATGCTGATGAGAACCACACAATTCACTCATTATAGTCTTTATTGTTTTAACATACAATTGTCACGGTCGGTGGATGCATATTTTAATTATCATGTGATTCCTGTTCTTTCTGAACGCAGATGCTGATGCTGAATTGACTCCGTCCAAGAAAAAGAAGAAGAAAGAGGGAAGTTTTCCAGGTCAAAAACCATCAAAGTCTGGCCCAGACGAGCCAAAAGGAGCATATGCAAAGTCACCGGCTATTGATCGTGTCCCCCTGCCAAAAGTGAGTGCTTTTACCCTGCTTCCTCTCTGTAAGAAGGTCATCATAATTACACTCATGGTGCCACTGTGTCCAAACCTTAAACCTTAGAATACACTTTAAGACTCTCCGGAGCTGTGTTGTGACGGAGAATCTATCGAGAGAATGTGTACGGCATCACATACATTGGACAACGGAATATTTTTACTAAATGTATTCAGGTATATTTTGGCGCGCCGATGTACTAAGTCTTGATTGCCACGTTGGACTTCGACTTGAAGTTGGAGAAGTTCTTAAACTGCGTTTAGTTTCCTGCTTCTCCTTTTGTATTCTAAACTTTGCTAGTGTTCATATGAATCTTGTACCATTCTGGAGACCGATTTATAGGTTTGGTATCGAATAATATATTTCATGGGAGCACACAAGGAAAGGAAAGTCATTTCTTCTTAATAATATTTATTAAGGATACACTGTTTTGTACGATGTTTTAAGAAGTGCATTTGATTATGGGTGATTTATAGGTGAGTTATCCAACAAGCCTTAAGTACATAGTCATATTTTAAGGAGCCTTATGCACACTTGATAGGTAATGCAGATCACTATGTGAAGACGAAGGTATAGGATTCCGCGGGGATTATATTTTTGCTCGACGTCCTGATTCTGTGGCAATAGAATAAAACGTTTTTTTTGGGAAAGTCAGTTTCCTTTCTATCCTTCTTTCAATTTAAGCACCTGGTGCTCCTGGGGTGCGTAAGCCTGTGGCCGTCCAAATTGCATAACTTCTTAGGGCCCGCTATTCCACACCGCTTTGTTGCTTATCCATCCTCCGCTTGCTATTAGTAAGCACGAGCAACAGGAGATGTATTACAGTGTTGTGTTTTAAATGTTTCTCTTTTATTGTTTGATTTCCGTCTAAGTGATTGTCTGAAATCATACAAATTAAAAGACCCAGGCTTTTTCCAGACCTTGCAGGGAATGCGTCTCACGCCGGTTTACACTGATTTTCCATTCTTGATGAATACTCTTCCCCTTTCATATTTTGTCTCACACTCTCTTAGTCTTCGAATCAAGCTGATCCCTGCCGTCCTATCTATACGAGATGCCACGATAGTCAGACCGCTATAAAACTTCAAATATTTTACATTTTGTCGTATAGAGGAGTCATCTTTGTCGGCCTTGCAACACTCTGCCTCATCGCCTTTAGCAAGGCTCTGCACATAGCTGCACATTATGCTTGCTTGGTAACACCCCAATTAGGAGCTTTTGCAATCCTCCGTTTTTAAACTTAAAAGTTGTCTCCAAGTTCAACAAGAGAGCACTGTCTATAATATAAATAACCCTTATCCTCCACGATCAACTGTTGGTCTAAACTCTTGCATTTGCGATGCGCAATTTAACTATTTTATAGGGATAATTTAGCATAGCACTTTTGGTCGAGAGTACTGCCTTCCTGTTAAAAATGTTTTCATCTTGCTTGTAGTTGAGCAAAACGTACCTCGATCGTAGACGTTTTCTGCGCCGAGAGATATCCTCGTTAAGACGTAGTGCTCTGCAGCAGGACAGTGATCCGGGCACCACCGCTATCTTTTATACCGTTTGCAATGCACAAGCTGGGGAGTCAGCTCTTGCCATCCGTCGTGGTGGCGTCCCCAGTATGTCCTTCTCCGAGGACCTTAGCCTACTGGCCGTTGGTTTCGGTTCGGGCAGGATTCGCGTCTGGTCACTGGGTGCTGAGTCTCTGCGTCAGATGATGCCTCCAGACGAACTAGCACTTCTTGACATGGATGACGACCGCATACGGAGTAAGATGCTGCACGACGAGAATGAGTAAGTTCAGAAGCCAACATTAGGTCTTAATTAATTTTGTCTCTACGGTCTCAACCTGTACTACACTTTCGATAATCAAAGCCGTATGGATAACTGGTATAGTTAATATCAGTCACCAGTTGAGTGTAGCATTTTAAAATAAGCACACGCCGTAAAATTGTACTGGACTTGAAGTGTTCATCTGTCCGGTCCTAGTATTTATTCTTAAGCATACTTATCGTCAGTACAATTCAGGGGTATTGCCTTCCAAGGTTCTTTATGCTGTAATTCGTCTTCTTCTAATATCTACTCGCTTATGAAAGCAATACTTATGTCCTAGCAACGCGACGACGAAGGCAGATACCCCGAATTTTCTCGGTACTCGGTTTTTGATAAATGAAAGTTAAAACACGTCCAGCCCTGCTAACCACAGGCCTAGATTTAACCACCCCTGGATTTTTTTTATTAATTCTCTTCCTCACTTATCCTTCTTGCTTTTCAAGTTTAAAGGCAACATTATTATTGACTATTTGCCGCGTTGGACAATGAACTTTCTGTTATGTATTGATTCTGTGCAAATCCATGGTGCATTCTCTATCTATCTCATACAAAGACAGGTATTAGTGGAAAAGCTGTCTCGTTTGTTCATAAATGTACATGCATGCTATATACTGTTTTTAAAAAAATCGTACCTGGGAAACAATGCTTTAGATCAAGTTTAGTTTACTAAAGACCATTCAGTTCGTTAGTCACGTAAAGTTAAGCATCTCTCTGGGTAATAAATACGGAGAGAAATATTTAATATTTTCCGGTCACGAAATAAACTACAATAAACAGCCTACTGATTAAGTTAACGTAGCATGCATTTACACTTTAATTATTCCTCGAAGAGGTATTTTTACGACTTGAGTATGCACGTGATGGGTGGGGAGAAAATGTATTTTAAAATTCCGCTTGATCTACCGCATAGCTCACAAAACATTGTGTCGTATTGGTGATGTTG